AGCGATAGCGATGGCAGCGATGGAACACCGATAGCGATTGCACAGCGATGGCGCATCGGTGGAGAGCGATGGCGCAGCGGTGGAGAGCGATGGCGCAGCGATGAAACAACGATGGAACAGCGATAGCGATGGCGGAGCGATAGAACAGCGATAGCGAAGGCGGCGATAGCGATAGCGATAGCGATGGCAGCGGTAGCGATGGTGCACCGATTGAGAGATGGCACAGCGATGAAACCAACGTTGCGATGGCCGCTATGGTACAAGCGTTGCGATGGCGCAGCGATGGCCAACGATGGAGATTATCAGCGCTGCGATGGTCCGGCGAGCACGACGGCTGCGATGGGGGATATAGCTTTGCGTCACGATGGCGATGAGCTAAGCGCATCGATGGCGATGAGCTAAGCGCATCGATAACGATGGTGCATGGCTAAGCGCATCGATATCGAACGCCGTTGACATTTGCAAAATGTCCGAATGACAGCAACACCGGAACTTATAGATTTGCAGTGTTTTTGACCTTGGCGCACAACGAATCGCCACGCCTCGGCGGGAAATTAACCGTCGTCTGTACTCGGCATGCAACGAACCGCCTCAGCACACAACGAATCGCCACACCTTATAGATTCTTGCGCCTTACCTCGTGCGTCGAATCATGTCGATCGACGGTCCGGATTACAACTGCGAAAATGACATTGCCTGCCCCTTGTTTTCGGCAACTGGCATAACAGTGGCTCCGTTCATCTGCGCGGTTGAAAATTGTTGATCGACGACTGACAATTTCCGGTACCCCTTACCGTTTATAGGCCCTGGCGTTTTATGGGCCCAGGGGTGCGATACGCAAATCGATTTGGCCCCACCTTGATGGCGTTTTATGGGCCCAGGGGTGCGATATGCGAATCGATTCGGCCCCACCTTGATCCCGACGCGAGGCCTGCTACAACAAAGTATAAAAGGCGTTGCAGCCCTCGAGTTATCCCTTTTGTTGGCGCTCCACAGATCAAGTCGCGCTATCGCTTCCGTGCGCGTTCTGATATTTGTGTCTTCAGCCCCCACCACCTTTCGCCATAGCCCGCTCACTCTTCGCTCTTCGCTCCGTCCGAAGTTGCCACATTGTGTTCGGTTCGCTCTGTGCTCCTCGGTCTTCGCTCTTCCTAGCTCTTCCTTCCTCACTCATAGCTGGTTCGGCGGTTGGTTACTCGCTCAACGCACGACGAAGGTAAAATCATATAACTTGAGTTGTCCTATTCTGTGTCCAACGTCCGAACACATTCCCAGATGCCCTGTCTGTACCTGCAGGATATAACGCCGCAGCCGCGTTCTGTTGAACCCCGAATCAATTCCCGGTTTTGTTGTTTCGCCAGTGGACGTGCTCTGATTTCTTTTCTCCACCCTCCACCTCCGTCTGCCATAGCCGATCCGCGTTCCGCAGCTCGATTATCTTTCGCCATAGCCACAATAACGTTCGTATAAAGTTGCTCGATCCCCTTCGCAAGTTGCAGTCGTCGCTGCGCATGGCGAACCCTGAATCAATACCTAGTTGCTACACTGAACACCGAATCAATTCCCGATTTTCGCTCACCTGTCCTTTGTGAGGTCGCCGACCTGATATCTACATATATATATATAAAGATATAGATACAT